ACAGAAAGATACCCACACACACACACACACACACACACACACGCACACACACACACACACACACACACACACACACACACACATACGTGTGCGTCTGAATGAGAGGGGAATGGGGTGTGGGGAGGCGGGGCGGTGGGGGGTTAGAAGAGGACAAGGGGGCAGAAATCAATACATTTTAACTGAAAGCCCTTGTGTAGCAGAAACAGAGACATGAAGCAAAAAAGCAGGAGACAGAAAAGAGGTGAAGAAGTTCAATAGAAAAGGAAGCAAGGAGGAAAGGCCTGTCAATCATCTTGACCTTATTCAGGAGGACGTTGCTCCATTCGTGAACGGAAGCTACACAACTTTTTATTGTGAACGGATTTGTCTCCCGCAAACACAATGAAATAAAAACACAATCATGATGTCGAGACATATAAGGACCTGTAACTGAAAAAAAAATGTAGTGTTGAATTTACTCAATTTCATTTCACCAAGCGGTCGCGCAAATAAAATAATCTGGATCCAGTTACATTTTTTAAATCAGAGGGCTAGAGTATATATGTTTTTTCTTTTTGACTTCAAATTGAGAATTATTAGTGACAATGGATGGATGGATGGATGGATGAATGGTAATGATTCGTTTGAATGAATTATTGCCAGGTGGCCCGGTGGTCCAGTGGTTAGCGCATCGACCTCACAGTGAAGAGGTCATGGGTGTGTTCCCGGCTCCGGCCTTCCTGTGTGGAGTTTGCATGTTCTCCCCGGGCCTGCGTGGGTTTTCTCCGGGTACTCCGGTTTCCTCCCACATTCCAAGAACATTCATGGCAGGCAGATTGAACACTCCAAATTGTCCCTCGGTGTGAGTGTGGATGGTTGTTCGTCCCTGTGTGCCCTACGATTGGCTGGCAACCGGTACAGGGTGTCCCCCGCCTATTGCCCGAAGACAGCTATGATAGGCCCCAGCACCCTCCGCGACCCTTGTGAGGATAAAGCTGATCGGAAAATGGATGGATGGATGAATTATCACCCAGTTTTTGATGCCCCCCAAGTTCCACGGCACCTTTGGCATCTTCCTATATGGCCGAATGGGCGATTCACAATACTCAGTCTTCTTCATGCCATTACCATTGTGTTAAAAAGGCAACATTTTAAAAGTGTTTTTACTACCAGGCTACCTTCTAGGAAGAAACAAAGGAATCCAAATGATTAGTGTGCACATAGCATCAATTTACATCAGTGACCTACGCATGCACGTACTTAGCCAGATGCTAGTTCCACGATGTCTCCGCAAACGACTTTACAGCAATGTTCTCTGTTATTGAATGAGAGCATATTACTGTCAACTCTCATTTGTAGCGGGGACGCAGGACACAGAGTAAAAACTTTTGGATTCATTTCTCTTTGCAGAATCCGTTTCATCTTCTCCCCCTTTGAGAATTGCGGGAGTGAGGCTGATAAAGCTTTTAGACAGATGGATGCGCTGTCAAAGCTTAGCTGGCGGAGTCACACGTTTTAATGGTTAGTGTACAAACATCTACTCTTATATAATAGTATTGATGCAATTTACTTGAATGGTAATGACCATTTTGAGTCTATCAAGGTGTTTTGTTATCAAGCATTTCAAAGTAGGAAATATGACAAGACTATCAAGACATCCAACAAATATAACTTTTTCCATTCATCTGTGGATATACAGTACCTGAATAAGTTAAAGCACAAACAGCTATGTCATAAAATATAGATTTGCAAACATTCAGTAATGTTTCACTGACTCTTAACTGCAGTGAATCTAGCCTAAAAAAAAAAGATTTAAAGCAACAGGGAATATCAAGAATTCTGTTTGATTCCACGGATTGTGCATACTTATGATTTATTGAAATCATGGGGGGAAAGAAAAGTGATTCATATTCATGCTGTGCTAAAGCAAAATCCTCATTATACATGTCTATCCATCCATCCATTATCCATTCCGGTTATCCTCCCAGTTGTCTTCGGGCAACATGCGGGGTACACCCTGAACTGGTTGCCAGCCAATCGCAGTGCTCACATCGACGAACAACCATCTGCGCTCACACTCACACCTAGGGACAATTTGGCGTGTTCAATCAGCCTGCCATGCATGTTTTTGGAATGAGGAGGAAACCGGAGTACCCGGAGAAAACCCACGCAGGCCCAGGGAGAACATGCAAACTCCACACAGGAAGGCCGGAGGCGGAATCAGACTCTGCACCTCTACACTGTGAGGCATACGTGCTCGCCAGTCGTCCAGCGCAGAGTCAGATATATGATGATAATAAAAGAAATGTATTTGTCGAAAAGCGAGAGACCGACAAAGTAGTCAACAGAAATCGCTGGTGACAAAAACTAGGAAAACCGAATGAGAAAAACGCTTGCAAACGGCGAGGTAAAGTTACGCAACGAAAATACACAAAACGATAATGAAAATGAGTCCAATCTTACGAACATGAAAAAATGGTCAACAGTAGTATGACAAAATAGATACTTACAAAACCAAAAGCCATAACGGGAAAGCGACTATGAGCAAGAAGTCTAGAAAACGGCACTTGAGCAAGAACTGCGAAAAAAGAGCAATAATCCGACAGGGAGATCATGAACTTGGCAGTCCTTGAATCCACTGAAGCTTGATTGGCTGATGAGAGACAGGTGCACCACTGAATGGTCACGCCCAACTCTTCAGCTGGTGCTGAAACAAAACAAAAACAAATTCCTGTGCGGACTAGATAGAATACAACGAATTTACCCTATGTGGCCTGAAAATGTCTGTGATGATGAACAAAGTTGCCGGCAATGCGTCTGATGAAAATATTTTGTGTCGACCATTTTTTGTGATCGACTTGGTCACATTGATCGACTTTTTTTTTCACCAGCCCTCCCTTAAACCAGGGTTAGATTTTACATAGCAGCCATTGCAAACCAAATGAAGCTTCTGTGAGGTTGCATAATGACAGTAAATTAATCTGTCTGTCAGGGTCTTCATTTATTCACTCCCAAAAAAGTGATCCCAATGTCTCCCACCTCATCCACATAGGCAACTTAGAGCTAAATCAATCCATGGCGACAGTTTGACCTTGGAGATCATTTCTATGTCATTTTATCGTACTATATAAAGTATTATCTTAATAACAGTGACGGCCTGGATTGTATATGTCAAAGAAAGTGTGAGCGGGGACATCACAAGTGGAAGTTGAAAAAAAAAAAGTACAACAACTGTAGTTGCCTATTAAGAGTCAAATCAGCAAGGCCTGATGGATGATGTCCAGCATCAATACAAGGTAATGGTCGTGCGCACACAAATACACACACACACACACACACACACACACACACACACACACACACACACACACACACTGCCTCCACTGTTTAGATTGACCCCTCTTTACTTATCTTGCCTGTAACCTTCATTTCAATTTCTTTATTAAAATGTCTCCCATTGTTTTATGAGACTTGGCACATTTATTCCAATGTACGAGGTAGGCTGATAAATTTGCCGATGTACGGTAAAGGGCAAGGCTTTTGCGTACTCACGTTGGCTGACATGTTTGGCACCAGTTGGTTAAACTTTTTTGTGAGAGTGGAGGACGTATTGATTCTCATAAAGGGTTCCTGTTGACCATAATGAAGCTTGAGGTTGGAAAGGTGTCCTTTAGCGTAGTTTCAGCAAAATCGCACTTTATCAACTTTCTAGGGACCACCTACTGATGTCTATACTGTTGTATAGTTGTTGTTTTGGAATAATATATATAATTACACAATACATCCATCAATCCATCCGTTTCCTCAACCGCTTTATCCTCACAAGGGTGGCAGGGCGTGCTGGAGCCTATCCCAGCTGTCTCTGGGTAGTAGGCGGGGGACACCCTGAACCGGTTGCCAGCCAATCACAGGGCACACAGAGACGAGCAACCATCCACTCTCACACTCACACCTCGGGTCAATTTAGAGCACATATGTCAAAGTGCCGGCCCGCGGGCCAAATCCGGCCCGCGAGAATGTTTTCAGTGGCCCCTGGGATGATATTGATTTATTATTAGAACCGGCCCGCGGACCGCAGCAAGCCGAGAGCCCGCAGATCTTTTACACGCACCAATACTACATTTCCCACAATGCAACAGTGACGCGCCAAGCAGTCGGCCGCTTTATTTAAATATTTATTAGTCTAGCAGTCGTTCCCATAACAGTGACATTAGCTTTCAGATACCCATCAAAAATGGCAAAACGGAAGGTATTTAGAGTGTTCAATCAGCCTGCCATGCATGTTTTTGGAATGTGGGAGGAAACCGGAGTACCCAGAGAAAACCCACGCACGCCCGGGGAGAACATGCAAACTCCACACAGATGTTTAAGTTTTCACACAGACCCGTCTGTTTAACTTCTCGTTTCTTTCCTCTATGTCGTTGTTAAAAAAAACAAAAAAACAAAAAGAAACCCATACGTTTGTAATTTTCCTATATCGTAATTTTCTCTCTCACTTGATTCTTCAAAAGTTCCTTAGCTTTGCACACAGAGGTATTATGACTTGATTGATTGCTTCAGCCCTTGTTGATCCTCACACTCATTTGAAACACAGCACAGGTGTTTTCAATAATCCCACGGATTTAATGGGTTGTAAACACACCGCGATCTTCATCAAAATGCTATCGCTTTGCTTGTTTATTTGCAAGTTTATTTGTAATGCGCATGTTCCTCTTGATTCTCTCACTTCTGCCGGAGCGTTTCCAATTTTGACAAGCACTGATTCATCCCTGCAGCAATTACATCTACAACCTACCCATTTTATAATGGCTCACTTGCCCATGACAGCAAAAACACAAAATCACTGCATCCGCTGTTGCAGTGTGTGTGTTGGCTCCACTGCATTTCTTTCCTCGAGTCCATTGTGAGAGAAGCCATCACGCGTATTAAAGTTTTATGGCCACATTCATTATTTAGAAAAATGAAATATAATTCCAAACAAAGCCACCCCCCCCCGCCCCCCAAAAAAATGCAGGGGAAATGTTTTACCCTTTTTTTATTTTTTTTATTTTTTAAAGCCATTTCCAAATTCCTCCATCCAAGATTGTTTATTTGATGTTCTGAACTGCTAGGTTGGGAAATGTTTGGCTCAGCAGATTGAGTTGTTTTGCTTCGAATCACAGACATAGATATCCAATCAGTCAACTCATATTTCCATCCCTAGCCCGTCCACACTTTCTCTGTAATTTACATTGTCTGTGTTTTATTACTGATTGATGTACTGTAGTGTCTTATATAATCACGGTTCATTGGTACGTTTGGGTAACAATGTTGCTAGCCATTTAGCTGTTATCATTGAAACACACACTCGCACACTTTTTGTTTTCAATCAATGACTGAAATTTATCCACGTTGCCAGTGTTCATGTTTATTTGGAAGTTGCCAGCTTGCTTTGGTTTGTTAGCTTAGTGGCTAATTTGCCAGACAGTTAGCCTTACTGCTTTACTGCTAAATATTTTTGTATTTTATTTTTTAGGGGTGACTTTAAGTAGCAAGCCGTCTGCTGTGTACCTTGCAATATTGTTATGAGATGGCCTAAACAAATGCATGTAGGGAGTTGTCACTTGATGTCCGGAAGACTGAAGTAGCTCTCGGATTATCAAAAATATGAAGCAAAGTAACTAGCCTACTTTTTGAAGGATAATAATAATAATTTTATGTGATGTAAAATTATTAAGACAAAGACACCATAAATATGAATTCGTACTTAGTGTCCATCCAGTAGCGTAGTAGTGTTTGAATGAATGTTCACAATTATATTGAGAATACATTGAAAACTCACCACCTTTGCCCGAAATCAAGAAACAAGATTACCTGATACATTTGTTGGAATTTTGTCTTTTATTGATTTAAAGATTAGTAGCACAGTCAAATCTTGTCTGTGCATGCAGTCACAGTACATTAAAAAAAAAAAAAAGCATTTATGGCAACACAGTTTTCCTTTCACCATCCCTGAAGATAACTTCCTAAATTACAATTACAAATGACAGTTATTCATGCAAATAGTGTGTATATGTGTGTGTGTGTGTGTGTGTGTGTGTGTGTGTGTGTGTGTGTGTGTGTGTGTGTGTGTGTGTGTGCGCGCGTGTGTGCGCACGTGCGCGAGTGGCTGTTGAAAGTGGTGCAACAAACACTCTTCTTTGCATAAATTGGTCCTTCGTATTTGCAGGCACACGCATGTGACAGGGGTGCGAGCGGTTGGGGTGAGTAGTCGGAGCAATCAATGCACAGCTACAGCTGGTTGAAGGGGACCAAATCCATTGAACAGTTGATTTGGTTCCATTTTACCAGCTTTAGCAAAGCATTTACATAAGTTGTTTGGGATGGGGAGAAAGTGGATTCTGGGACAGAAGGTTGTTGCAGCTGGAGAACCCATCTGGGTGGACACCTGCAAGGGCCAGACAAGGAAAAATAATGTCAGTTCATGTGGCTGGCGCATCGAAACAAGCATGCGCAACACACTCACACGAATACGGAGACACACAGTCAACACTCAGTCGCTGATAATCAGTCGTTGCCCTTGAAAAAGTGCCTGTTTTGCATTGAGGAAGCATAAGTATACAAAAAAAGGGAATGAAGTGAAGATGGAGGAAATAGATGAAGAAAATTAACAGGATAAGGGAATGCAGAAAAGGAAAGCGCAAACAAGATGAAAATTGTGTGTGTGTGTGTGTGTGTGTGTGTGTGTGTGTGTACACGTGTGTGTGTGTGTGTGTGTCTTTCTGTCTGTCTGTGGAGAGCCTTAAGAGATAAGAAAGAAGCTACCAAAGCTGCAGAAAACAAGAAATTCATCCCCTAAACTGTTAACAGCACAAATGAAGGCACACAGGATGACCTCCAGCATTGTGCAACATTCGTCAGATGTTAACGCATCCACACACACCCCCATTTTTCTGCATTTCTGCGGGCCATCCACTGTCTCGAGCTCCGCAGTGCCCAGATGATGCACTCAGCACTCTCGCCTCAGCGGGACACAATTTCTGGTTCTGTTAGCCTATTGCTTAACATATAATCATTAAGGAATCACCCGTTCAAATAGAGTATTGACCCCACAGTGGAAACCGTCAATATTTTCTGGCTGAATATGTAAACCTTCTTTTCACTGAAGCGGGAGCACATAACTCTTGGCATCCCTTCACTGGCTCCCGATACATTTTCGAGTTCTTTTTAAGATCCTATTATTTCTTTTCAATTCTTTAAATGGCCTCGCTCCACCTTACCTCTCTGAGCTCTTCCGCTCCTACACACCTGCCCGATGTCTCAGTTCTGCGGATCAGATATTATTAGAGGTACCAAGAACTAAGCAGAGGCTCAGAGGGGATCGAGCTTTTTTCCGTTTCTGGTCCCTCTCTTTGGAATGAACTCCCACTGAATGTTCGGCAAGCCCCCTCGCTGCCCATCTTTAACACTCGTCTCAAAACTCATTTTTATTCTTCGGCTTTTGACGAAGCATTAGACTTGAGGTTTAGTTTGACTGTTTTTGTGCTTTCTACTGCCTTTGTTACTAATTTATTATTTTATTGTTTGTTGCTGTCCAAATAATCTTTGCTCCATGTACAGCACTTTGTATACAGCGGTGGTTGTTTTAAAAGTGCTCTATAAATATGGTTGGGTTGAGTTGAAAATAGCAAATGTATACATAGAATGTCCAATCAAACAACACACTAAAAGCAGTTTACTATAGACCTCCAAACTCTATGAACTATTTATGCTGCGTCATGTTTGCAGCTGCAGGTTCTCTCCCTCAGGGCCGGCCTCTTGTCTATTCCGGGTGTGTGCTGTCCACTGCATTCCTGGCCTTATATTGAAAGACAGGAAGGCAAAGGACTGGGTGGGGACAGTTTGACACCAGCACCGAGGGACAAGGCGGGGCATGACGCAGTGGGAAAGTCAGTCAAGGGGGTCACAGCGGGAAGGTCAGTCACGGTGCAAGGTATCCCTGGGGACCCGCTCGCAGTACGAGTGTGTGGTGTGAGGGAACAGCTGCCAACCCACCACCGGGTTCGCTACTTCCAAGTCAGTCCCACAGCAGACTCTGTCACTCTAGTTCACGGTCTTATTTTCCATTTCCTGGCCTGACGCCAGAACCTTACGAGCCCAACTTGCCATCACTCACACTGCTCTGAGTGTCGGCTTCTGTTTTCCCTCAGCTTCCCTCTCAGCCTTCTCCCCTAATCAGCCCAAAGCGGATCTCAGCGAGCGACCCGCTGTCGAGTTACAGCGTGAGAGTGCCACGGGCGAGGCCTTGCAAACCTCAGTGCGCCACATCCTGTCGCTCTCTCACCGCGACCAACTGATCAAGAGGCCTGGGCAACAGCGAGGCCACTGTTACGAAATATCCATTAAAATCCACTTAAGAAGGCAATAATCCTCGGTAATGCTGCATCGGAATGAAGCACATATAGACATGGCAACCTAATGATGTCGCATGTCTGATGAGAGTGTCTGCCAGTTTGGTAATTAGCTTAATGTGAGGCCCACTATAGCAATGAAACAAACGTTGACCTGTGGTCAGCTGTAAATTTAATCATCTGGGCCCAATTCCTGCTGGTCTTGCTCAGATTAGTTGAAGAAAATGGGAGTAAAAACACAAGTGCTCCATATATATTTTCCTTTAGGTTATTATTGCTGACTGGTGAAAAACATGAACAGCTAAAAAAAAAAAATATATATTTATATATATTGATTTTTTTCCAAAAACATGCAGGGCAGGCTGATTGAACGCTCTAAACTGTCCCTAGATGTGAGTGTAAGCGCGGATGGTTGTTCGGCTATGTGTGTCCTGTGATTGGTTGGCAACCGGTTCAGGGTGTCCCCCACTTACTGATAAGATAGCTACGATAGGCTCCAGCACCCCCCGCGACCCTTGTGAGGATAAGCGGATTGGAAAATGATGGATGGATGGAAGAGAGATCAAAACCACAATGAACTTGACCTTACATTAAATATCCTTTTGAGTTTTTTTTTTTTTTTTTTTTTGCTATCACGTTGAAAAGTGTTTGAAGCAAAATCAAAAGCTTTGACAACAAATGTTTCCTTTTAGGTCAAAAAACAAATACAGGCTAATCTTCTACAGGTATTTTGGATAAATATCTTTACATCCAACTCCAGAGGCCTCACCAGTCACCTCACCGCGCGCCACTGCAAATGAGCAACCTCAGTTCAAATCTAATGGTGGCCTGATACTTTTCCACGGTTGTGTAAGTCTGATATAAGACAATACTAGAGCTAATGCAAACAGTCAAGGTGGATCAAATATAACTGGTGGACTAAAACCCCACTCATCATTTGGGTCGGTCATGCTAACGATGGTGCAGTCCACGGTCGACAATAGCTAACTGTCTACTCTGCCATCCCGCCACTCCCTGCGCATCGACATTATTTCAGCATTTCAGAGCCTGACCGGTTAATCTGAACAAGAGTTGGGGGTGTCACAGAACTTTTTTTTTTTTTTTATTATTATTATCCGCTTTACACTCGCTGAAGATAAAACACGTCTTCTTGAAAAAAAAATAAAAATTAAATAAACCAACGCGTGATGACCTTGCATGGCAACTTCGGCTCAGGTACTGAAATGCTACCGCGAAAAATGTAGCCGTTATCATTTGACATTCCTCTGTGGGTTAATGCAGTTGGTGATAATGCTATCTACTCCCCGCGGTCGCTTGCTTGACCTTGTGTCGCTGCTGTGTTTGTCACAGAGCGCACGCAAACGAACCCGTGAGCACCTTTGGTCGTGATCCTGAACAAAATCTCAAATGCCGTGACAGTGGAGGACCTGATTGAGCGTTGTATACGTTGTGATTTTTGCAGTGTTTATCTTCTTGGTTTTACATCAAAACGATTTAATCCTCAAAGCGCTTTAATTCCTTCACCTTTTAATCCAACATCAACACCCTGCAGACAATCAATAGCTATTTCGATGATATATTTAATTATATCCACTCCTTTTTGGTACACACTTGTCCTGCCTTTCTTTGAGGATGATCGCACTATGTCATTTATTTTTGCCCATTGAAACATTTCACGATTCAAGAATCTTGATCATGCTCCATATACGGCAAAAGGGGGTGTCACTCTAAAATGTGTCAGATCTTGCTTTAACCCAGCAACATGACAAATTTCTGATACCTTTTTACATCACTAAGTTTGGTTCTGATACAAAATGTGAGCAAAAAGTTATGAGCAGCATTTATTGATTGGCAGACACACACAGTACACTGAGCATACTGCAACAAAAATGTGGACATTAACACATCTATGGGCCAAGGAGATTTTTTTTTTTTTTTTTTGTAACTACAGTTTTTTTCTGGTTTGTTTGTTAGTGTACTTATGCAAAAACTGCTCAACATAATTCCACAAAATATATCCGGTTTTGTCGGTTTTGCATGACCTCAGTGACTTCAATGTATCTTAAAAAACGTTAATTCAGTTATGGCCGTTGCACGCCTTGCATGCATACTTTCAACGTTGGCCAATTTTCCTGTAAACACCTCTGACACACACACACACACACATACACACACGCACCGTGCATCACCTGGAAAGTTGTGTGCAACCGCCAAAGAGACATGACTCGGTGAAGTTTGAGGATAGCGCTAATTTCCAGATCGTGTAGTTTTCAAGGGACATGTGATTTCCTTCGAGATCCATTCGGAAAATGCATCACACTTTGAATGTGAAATAAACTTGTGTCGCGGATCCAGAAGTTAAACTTATCGTCGCCAATGACGTGTGAACCACTTACTTATCTAACAGTACAGTTCAAATGTTACTGAAAACTTTTACATCTCATAAAAACTGATTTTATCATTGGACCAGATTATATTTTAATTCTATTTGCTAAACAGGATCCATTGTTCATTGCAGGATGCAAATATTACAGTTAAGAATATAACTCAAAACAGAAGAAAAAAACCTAATGCTCCTCCTATGAACGGTAAAAGCAATAGTTTCATTTATCACTGCTCTCCTATGTGCTGATTTGTGTTGGTTAAAACGCACTATACAGTAGATCCAGGAAGAATGTGCCGAATAAATCATATCTCCATGTATGCGGTATATCGGCCTCAGCAAGACAAAAAAAAAAAATCCAACCAGCCTAGACTTCTGCATGGACACGTCATCAACGCCATCACCCCACACACATAACTTGAATGACAGAAATAACAAAGACAAGAATAACGTCTCTGCCGATGTTGCAGCTCCTGTGATTTTTATGTGTCGAGAAAATACTGAAATGAAGTTTCAAACAATGTTGTTCAACCCTTTCACGCAACCTGTAACCTGATAACATGATAAGCTGTCCACTTTCGTAACCGCCGTCCCTTAAAGAGTTAAAGATGCTTGAGTCTTTATTGTCTCGGCCAATTATCTGATAGTAAACGA